CCCGAACCCGGGGCCGGCCCCCCACCCCCCAGCCCGCCCCCCACACCATTTCCTGACAAACCCACAGAGCTTTTTCCAGGCGGGATTCGGGCTCTGCCACGTCAGGACCGGACAGAGCCACGGCCCCGGGGACGGCGACACCCCCACCCCCCCAAAAAACCAGCCCAGGACCCCCCACCCGGGGGACGGGGAGAGCCGGGCCGGCGTTCCCAGTGTTCAGACTACCTGTTCAGGTGGGAAGGGATGTACAGTAGTCTGCACATTGGTTACGCCGGCGCGGGCGGCGCCGCGGCCGGAGCTGCCGCAGGTAAGCGGGAACGCCGGGAATTGCCCCTTTTTGGGATCGCCCCTTTTTGGGATCGTCCCTTTTTGGGAATTGTTCCTTTTTGGGAATTGTTCCTTTTGGGAATTGCCCCTTTTTGGGAATTGCCCCTTTTTGGGATCGTCCCTTTTTGGGAATTGTTCCTTTTTGGGAATTGTTCCTTTTGGGAATTGCCCCTTTTTGGGATCGTCCCTTTTTGGGATTGTCCCTTTTTGGGAATCGTCCCTTTTTGGGAATTGTTCCTTTTTGGGAATTGCCCCTTTTTGGAATTGCCCCTTTTTGGAATTGTCCCTTCCTGGGAACGCCCCTTTTTGGGAATTGCCCCTCTTCCTTCCCGGGAATTGCCCCTTTTTGGGAATGGCCCCTTCCTGGGAATTGCCCCTTTTCCTTCCCGGAAACTGCCCCCTTTTGGGAATTGCCCCTTCCTGGGAATTGCCCCTTTTCCTTCCAGGAAACTGCCCCCTTTTTGGAATTGCCCCTTTTTGGAATTGTCCCTTCCTGAGAATTGCCCTTTCCTGGGAACTGCCCCTTTTCCTTCCCGGGAATTGCCCCTTTTCGGGAATTGCCCCTTTTTGGGAATTGCCCCTTTTTGGGATCACCCCTTTTTGGGATTGCCCCTTTTGGGAATTGTTCCTTTTTGGGAATTGCCCCTTCCTGGGAATTGCCCCTTTTCCTTCCAGGAAACTGCCCCCTTTTGGGAATTGCCCCTTTTTGGGAATTGCCCTTTCCTGGGAACTGCCGCTTTTCCTTCCCAGGCATTGCCCCTTTCTGGGAAGTGCCCCTTTTCCTTCCCAGGAATTGCCCCTTCCTGGGAACTGCCCCTTTTCCTTGCTGGGAATTGCCCCTTCCTGGGAATTGCCCCTTTTCCTTCCCAGGAATTGCCCCTTTCTGGGAATTGCCCCTTTTCCTTCCCAGGAATTGCCCCTTTTCCTTCCCGGGAACTGCCCCTTTTTGGGAATTGCCCCTTTCCCAGGAATTGCCCCTTCCTGGGAACTGCCCCTTTTCCAGGAATTGCCCCTCTTCCTTCCTGGGAACTGCCCCTTTTTGGGAATTGCCCCTTTCCCGGGAATTGCCCCTTTTCCTTCCCAGGAATTTCCCCTCTTCCTTCCTGGGAACTGCCCCTTCCTGGGAATTGCCCCTTCCTGGAACTGCCCCTTTTCCTTCCTGGGAATTGCCCCTTTTTGGGAATTGCCCCTTCCTGGGAATTGCCCCTTTCCCAAGAATCGCTCCTTTTTGGGATTTCCCTTTTTGGGATTTCCCTTTTTGGGAATCCCCTCTTTTTGGGAATCCCCTCTTTTTGGGACTCGCCCTTTCCCGCAGGTTTTCCGTGGGGTCCCCCCGGGGCTGAGGGGGCGGGGGGGCCGTGCCCTGTTGGATTTTTGGGGAGGGGGGTCCGGGAGCGGGGGGGGACGAGGACAGAGCCTCATTCATCCCGAGGCCGCTCCGCTCCCCCTGGAGAGGCCCCGCAGGAAACCGGGAGCAGCAATTTTGGAGAGGGGGGTCCAGGGGGGTCGGGGGGCGCTGCGGGGCTTTGCCTTCGCCCGGAGGGAACAAAGGAAAAGCGGGATGGGATCGCGCCTGGAATTCCCGGGAAATAAACGCTGTGTCCGTGCCTCCTTTCCCTGAGCCTGTGTGGGCTGTGGACCCCCCAGAGCCCCCCCAAATCCCGGGGAGGGACCCCCCCCCAAATCCCGGGGAGGGACCCCCCCACGTCCCCCGTGATCCTCCCACCACGGGAGGAGCGGGAGCGAGGGGGAGGAAAGGCTGGAAAAGCCAAAATCTCCAGGGAGGGGCTGGAGCTGCCCCGCCCCCCCCGGGGGAAGGCTGGGAATGAGGGGGGGTCTGCACTGAGGGATCCTTTGGGAATGAGGGGGGGTCTGCACTGAGGAATCCTTTGGGAATGAGGGGGGGTCTGCACTGAGGAATCCTTTGGGAATGAGGGGGGGTCTGTTTCCCCCCCCGGCACCCCAAATTTCCCCATTTTTCCCTCTGAAATCCCAGATTTCCCCCCCCGGCACCCCAAATTTCCCCATTTTTCCCTCTGAAATCCCAGATTTCCCCCCCCAGCACCCCAAATTTCCCCCTTTTTCCCTCTGAAATCCCAGATTTCCCCCCCCCAGCACCCCAAATTTCCCCATTTTTCCCTTTGAAATCCCAGATTTCCCCCATTTCCCCCCCCCAGCACCCCAAATTTCCCCATTTTTCCCTCTGAAATCCCAGATTTCCCCCCCCAGCACCCCAAATTTCCCCGTTTCCCGGCCCTACCTCCTCATCCTTGTACCAGGAGAGCGACTCGGCCGTGAGCACGAACCAGTACTCCTTGGAGCCGCCCTTCATGATGCTGATGTTGTTGATGGTGAGCCAGCCCCGGCGGATCACCTGCGGCACGCCGGCAAGGCGCGACGGTCACAGCGGATCCCGCAGCGATCCCAGAGCAAGATCCCAAAGAAGGATCCCAGAGCTGGATCCCACAGCAGATCCCACAGCAATCCCACAGTGATCCCAGAGTGATCCCAGAGCAAGATCCCAAAGAAGGATCCCACTGCGGGATCCCACAGCAGGATCCCACAGCAATCCCAGAGCAAGATCCCACAGCAAGATCCCAAAGAAGGATCCCAGAGCGATCCCACAGTGATCCCACAGCGATCCAAGTGATCCCAGAGTGATCCCGCAGTGATCCCAGAGTGATCCCACAGTGATCCCAAAGCTGGATCCCACAGCAGGATCCCACAGCAATCCCACAGTGATCCCAGAGTGATCCCAGAGTGATCCCACTGTGGGATCCCACAGTGATCCCAAAGCAAGATCCCACAGTGATCCCCCAGTGATCCCAAAGCAAGATCCCACAGCAGGATCCCACAGCAGGGAGCAGCCCTGGACCCCTGGAAACCCAAGGAATCCCAGATTCCCTCCCCATTTTTCCCTCTGAAATCCCAGATTTCCCCCCCCGGCACCCCAAATTTCCCCATTTTTCCCTCTGAAATCCCAGATTTCCCCCCCCAGCACCCCAAATTTCCCCGTTTCCCGGCCCTACCTCCTCATCCTTGTACCAGGAGAGCGACTCGGCCGTGAGCACGAACCAGTACTCCTTGGAGCCGCCCTTCATGATGCTGATGTTGTTGATGGTGAGCCAGCCCCGGCGGATCACCTGCGGCACGCCGGCAAGGCGCGACGGTCACAGCGGATCCCGCAGTGATCCCAGAGCGATCCCAGAGTGATCCCAAAGCAAGATCCCAAAGAAGGATCCCACAGCAGGATCCCACAGTGATCCCAGAGCAAGATCCCAAAGAAGGATCCCACAGCCAGTCCATCCCAGCCCATCCCAGGGCTATCCCAGCCCCCCCCAGCCCACCCCGGGGCTATCCCAGCCCATCCCAGGGCTATCCCAGCCCATCCCAGCCCACCCCAGCCCATCCCAGGGCTATCCCAGTCCATCCCAGAGCTATCCCAGTCCATCCCAGTCCATCCCAGCCCATCCCAGGGCTATCCCAGCCCACCCCAGCCCACCCCGGGGCTCTCCCAGCCCATCCCAGGGCTATCCCAGTCCATCCCAGCCCATCCCAGGGCTATCCCAGCCCACCCCAGTCCACCCCAGCCCACCCCGGGGCTCTCCCACCCCTCGGGTTAGTGCCAGGGCTCAGCGGGAAGTGCGGCCCCCGGGAAGGGGCAGAGCCGGGTTAGACACGGAGCCTGCCGTGGCTCCACGGGAACACCGAGACCCCCGGGGGGTCCCAAGCCCCTCCCGGGGGTGGGGTCGGGGTCGGTTTTCCGGCGCGGGAGCCACGGCAGACCCCCGGGGTGAGGAAGGAGCCAAGCTGGAGCTGCGGCGGAGCGCTCCGGGCACGGGAAGGACGGAGAGCCCGGGAATTGCAGGGGGGCAGGGGAGGGGGGGGATTTCACCTCCGAGAGCCCCCCTTCCCATCTGGGAACCACCCTGGGATTGGACCCGAGCGGGTTTTAAAGGAACTGGGGGGTGGGAAGGGGGAGAGGCAGGATCAGGGATCAGGAAAGGGATTGGAGCAAAGCCCGAGGGGTCGGGGGGGGGGGCTTGGGGGGGTTACTGGGGAAAGGGATCAGCAGGAAAAGGGGCTGAAAGGAAAAAGGGAAAGGGGAGAGGGGGGAATTTTGAGGGGTTACATGGAAAAGGGAGAGGGTCTGCGCAGCCCAGCAGGAGCTGGAGCCTCTGGGAAAAGCCCAGGAGCAGCAGGGATGAATGAAGTTCCTTTAAAACCCACGGATTTTGAGAACAGAGATGGTCTGGGGGCTCGGCAGGGGCTCCCACCCCCAATTCCCAGCTCTCCCCCCTTCCCATCGTGACCCCGTCCCGCGGCCCTGCCCGGAGCTCTGGGGGTCCCGGGGGTCCCCAGGAACATCTGGGTGCTGCTGGGAGGAGGTGGAAGTGCCTGAGGAGCCGGGAAAAGGCCGGATCTGCGGCGGGGATTTGTGGAATGGGAGGCACAAACCCTCCCGGGGGGGGGGAGCATGCAGCAACCCCAGGAAATGCACTTTTTGGGAGAATAAAACATTTCACAGCCTGGCACCAGGGAGCTCCCCCTGGCTCTGGCATTCCAGCTCGATCCAGAGGCAGGATCCATGAGATTATCCTGGTTTTCCTGCAGGATGCAGCAGCCCCAGGGAATCCACGTTTTTGGGAGAATAAAACATTTCACAGCCTGGCACCAGGGAGCTCCCCCTGGCTCTGGCATTCCAGCTCGATCCAGAGGCAGGATCCATGAGATTATCCTGGTTTTCCTGCCCAGGTCACCCCGAGGTTGTAAATCCCAAAGGGGGGGGTTTGGAAAGGATTCCATCTCAGGCACTTCCACGTTCCTGGAGAGGCTCCGAGGGGATTGGGACCCCCTGGATCCCCCTCCCTGTCCCAGGAGGGAGGAGCTCCGTGGTGGAACGACAGGGCTTGGAGCAGCCAGGTTGGGAATTCTGGTGTTGGCAGGGTGGGGTTGAACCCCAAATCCTTCCAAAAAAACCCCGGAATTTAGGGGGAGAAATAAATCCCAGCCATTCCCTCTGTGTGTTCCCAAAGGAATCAAGGGAATCTCACACCCTCCCCCAGCCATTCTGGGCTGAATCAAAAAGATTTTGGCCTCCTGCTTCCCAAAGTTTGGGAAAACCAGGAGCAAGCTGAATCCCAGGATCACCCCAAAGCCCCTGCAGCGGGCACAGGGGGCACAGACCCCATTTCCACCTGGCTGCTCCCTCTGGGAATCCCGTCCCCCTCCTCTCTCCATCCTGGGGAGCAGGGGGGTGGCATTTTTGGGGTTTTTTTGGGGGGGTTTTTGAGGACGGGGCGCTGTCCCGGCACTGTCCCGCTCCGTGGTACTTACCAGGATCTCCCCCTTTGGGCACGCAAAATTAAGGGGGGAAAAACACAAAAAAAAAAAAAGGAAAGAAAACACGGAAGGGGACGGGAGTGACAGGAGAAGGAGAGAGCGAGAAGCACAAAAAAAAAAGGGAGGAAAAAGCGGAAAAACAGCAGAAGAAAACCCGTTACATGCTATTAATGATCATTCCCAGCGTTAATCCTTCCGGGCCCGAGGCTGGGGAGGGGGCACGGCCTCACCCCAACGCTCCCCTGGGAGCAGGATTTGGGGGGGACACGGCTCTGGGGACACCCCGGGGTCCTCCCAGTTCCCAGGGCTGCGCCTCCCGCCTGCTTCATCCCGAATTTCAGCCGGGAATTCCGCTGCTTTTCCACGCCCAAACCCGGCCCTGGCTATCGGAGTGGGTTGGGATTTCCACGCCCCGAGGAGGAGGAGGAGGAAGAGGAGGAAGAGGAGGAGCTCCAGGGGGTGTACCTGGTTGGGGATCGCTCTCTTCTTGTTGGTCTGCGTGTTCCGCTGCTGCGCGCTGGGAAAAGGGGGAAAAATGGAATTTTGAGTGGGGGGGAGAGGGGGCTGAGCGAGGGCCACATGCAGGGAGGAGCCCATCCGAAGGGTGGAATTCCAGAACCCATTCCCGAGGTTTTTTTTTTGGCCCAGGACAGAGGGGGGAGGTGACACCGGGAACTCCTGGCATTCCCAGGAGGTTGTGAAACACCCGAGCAGCAGCGGGGGGAATTCCGACCACCAGGAGCTTCCAGAAAGACCCAATTCCCCCTGGATCGGGGGTCGAGCATTACCTGCACCAGAGGGAAAAGCTACCTGTCTCTCCTGAGCACCGAGGGGGCGGAACCGTTAGTCAGGAGCGGGAACAAAATCCGGGAAATCCGTTAGAATCCCACCGGGAGCCCCGGAGCAGCAGAGGGGGGACGCTCCCACCCCTGGGAAAGGGGGTCTGGGGGATCTGGGGAATCCTCCCTGCCTGCCCCGAGCCCAACAGCTCCTCCTGGATCCCTGGGCAGGGGTGATCGGGGTGAACCCACTGAGCTGGGAGAAGCTCCAGGATCCCAAAGGCAAATCTGAGGGAAAAGCTCTCTGGTTCCCAGTTCCAAAGCTGGACTGGGAGGAGCAGCTCCAGGAGCCCAATTCCAGGGCAGAAATGGGAGGAGCAGCTCCAGGATCCCAAAGCCAAATCTGAACTGGGAGGAGCAGCTCCAGGATCCCAATTCCAGAGCTCAACTGGGAGGAGCAGCTCCAGGAGCCCAATTCCAGAGCTGAACAGGGAGGAGCAGCTCCAGGATCCCAAAGCCAAATCTGAGGGAAAAGCTCTCTGGTTCCCAATTCCAGAGCTGAACTGGGAGGAGAAGCTCCAGGATCCCTGTTGTGCTGGGCAAGGGAACAACCCAGCTTCCAAACCCAGAGGAGAAGTTCTCTGGCTCCCAAATCTCAGGGAAAAGCTCCCTGGTTCCCAAAGCCAAGGCTGAACTGGGAGGAAAATCTCCCTGCTTCCCAATTCCAGAGCTGAACTGGGAGGAGAAGCTCCAGGATCCCAAACCCAAATCTGAGGCAAAAGCTCTCTGGTTCCCAATTCCAGAGCTGAACTGGGAGGAGCAGCTCCAGGATCCCAAAGCCAAATCTGAGGGAAAAGTTCTCTGGTTCCCAATTCCAAAGCTGAACTGGGAGGAGCAGCTCCAGGATCCCAAAGCCAAATCTGAGCTGTGAGGAGAAGCTCCAGGATCCCAAACCCAAATCTGAACTGGGAGGAGAAGCTCCAGGATCCCAAAGCCAAATCTGAATTGGGAGGAGCAGCTCCAGGATCCCAAAGCCAAATCTGAGCTGTGAGGAGAAGCTCCAGGATCCCAATTCCAGGGCAGAAATGGGAGGAGCAGCTCCAGGATCCCAAACCCAAATCTGAATTGGGAGGAGAAGCTCCAGGATCCCAAACCCAAATCTGAACTGGGAGGAGAAGCTCCAGGATCCCAAAGCCAAATCTGAGGGAAAAGCTCCAGGATCCCAAACCCAAATCTGATCTGTGAGGAGAAGCTCCAGGATCCCAAACCCAAATCTGAGCTGTGAGGAGAAGCTCCAGGATCCCAAACCCAAATCTGATCTGTGAGGAGAAGCTCCAGGATCCCAAACCCAAATCTGAGCTGTGAGGAGAAGCTCCAGGATCCCAAACCCAAATCTGGACTGCAGCTCCAGGATCCCAATTCCAGAGCTGAACTGGGAGGAGAAGCTCCAGGATCCCAAACCCAAATCTGAGCTG